TGAAAACCTCAAGAAACTAAAGCCCAACCCTTAGATTAGACTTTACTTTTCCTGTCTCCTTCCCTGCTGCTGCTCTGGGCCTGGTTTCTGTTTTGATGCCATCTGAAACAAAAACTTTAGATCATTATAGAAAGGCTGCTGTCAGGTGAAAGCACAGAATGAGTCCAGTATGCAACAGGAGGGTTATTCCTGCAGGAGAGAAGCCAGGCTGCTTTCTTAAAGCTGGATACCAGCACTCAGCTCCGAGCCCATCAGCTACCCATAGCACCAGTTACCAAACAGGTTTTAAACATCCACTGTGTGCAGGATCGCTGCTGGGGAGTGACAACTTAGACCCAGTTTGAAGGGAGTGCAACTAAGGGAGCTCAAGCAAATCATCAAACTCCCATTTTTCTAAACAAAATGCCAGGTCGGAGTCCGGCAGGCAGATTCCAATGTGTCTGTCAAGGCTGGTGGAGCAGCTCAGTGGCTTTTCGATCACGATGCAGAAATAAATGTTGGCAAAACCACTGCAGAACGAGCCTATTGTGCTCTTACACTTTCAGGGGCCGGGCTAGGCTCTGTCTCAGGCCAGGATCCATCTACTTTGACAAAGAGAGAGGAAATTACTCCTTGTGCAAACTGACAGTTACCTAAGGGTTGTGTTGTAGGAAGGCAGCTGCTAAGAGGGTTTGTCAAAACAAACATTCCCCAGCCAGGGCAACGTATGGCTTTTCTTCAAAGAAAAGCTCATTTTAAGGGTAGGAGGCCTCTTCACACACTTAGGCAGAACCTGTCATTAAGAGCAGATGCTTCTGACTGTCGCTGTCTCTTGACCTGCTTCAGACTCTCCAGAGAGGATGGGCCAGAGCCCTTGAGTTTGGTTGGAACTGGGAGCAGCACAGTCAAGGACATGCTGTGTGCAAAAAGACCACCTTGGAAACGGGAGATGGAGTTTCTTACAGAGGAACTACATGTGTATCACTGAAAAAAGCACTGGAAAAGGAAGCAGAAGCTGGAGAGTGGGCATCGATGATATTGCCAGGAGAGACCTGAAGCATATCAAGTGTGACTTCACGGTTCTGGATGCAATGGACATCACTGTGGGGGCTGAGCGGTCTTCTGCTGGTGAGGGGAAAGTACATGAGGGGGAAATAGATGTAGCCTGCGGGTCAAGAACTGTTTGTGCAGCAGGTGACAATAGGGATTCAGCTTTTATGACCATGGGACTCTCTTCAAGGATCAGCACTGCTATGAAGAGATGGGATCCACCTGACCAAGGGGGAAAAACATCTTTGCTAAGTGGACAGAAGCTGCTCAGCCTCTGGAAAAGAGCTTTAAAACAGAGACAACAGGTGAGGGATAGGAGAAGTGAGGAAGTGATGGACTAGCTTGGCAAGCAAAAGTTGCAGTGTGATGTGGACAGGAGAGATCTTGATATGTGGCACATGGGGGCCCAGCCCACATGTATGCATGAATACATGTGAATGTGCTGGAAGGGGAGCATCCTGGGGAAAGCTCTATAACTTGCAGAGAAGGTGCCCTTGTGGCAAAGGCTGCCAACAGCCCCCTTCAGCTGCATTAGCAAGGGTATTACCTGCAGGCAGAGGAAGGTGATCCCCTCAGCACTGGTGAGATGCATCTGGAGTGCTGTGTTCAGGTCTGGGCTCCCCAGTACAGGAGAGATATGGATGTAGTGGAATGAGCATCATCAGGAAGATGACGAGGGGACTGGAGCATCTGGCATACAAGGAGAGGCTGAGAGAGCTGGGACTGTTCAGCCTGGAGAAGAGAAGGCTCAGGGGGGGGACTTTCTCAATGTGTATAGACACCTGGTGGAGGGAGTACACAGAAAGGCTGTGGCACCTCCATCCTGGAGATACTCATCTGGACATGACCCCATGCAACCTGCTTTAGATGACCCTGCTTTGAGCAGGGAGGCAGACAAGATCTCCAGAGGTGCCTGCCATCCTCAGCCATTGCGTGATCCTGTAACAAGTAGCTCTGTGTATAATAAGGTATCTTTGATGCTGGAGGAGGAGCAGTGCAGACACTGTCACAGGACAATACTGCAGACCCAGCGGTATAAGCAATTCACCACTGGCCAAGTTGTCAGAGTAACCAGGAGCAGGGTAAAACCAGTTTTAGGGGTAGCAAAGAATAAGTATGCAATATATATATAAAACAGTCCATAAACAGTAGATTTGTACACTATGGGGAACAATGAACCAGGGAAGATCAAGGTGTAGAGTATTTTTTACAAACAGATGACCCCAAAGCTGAGAGAAAAACCACAAACATTACACTCCTCTCTGTGACAAACTGTGAGTCCTCCCTACCTGCAACTTCAGTCACTGACCCTAGGACTCCAAGGGGCATTGGAAGGGGTAGGCATTAGAAAGTTTACGTGCAAATTCAAGACCACCGATGACCCACACTACCTCTATAAAATGTTTGAACTTGGCTCAGAGATGGCACTTATGAAGAGGGGCAGAACAGCTGTGCTGCCACATAAAGTGCCCCATGGCATCTCCTAAGCAAGCCACTACGTTGGCAATCAAGTTGGAAGAGCTGTAGCTCTTTGAATCAAAGCTGCTCTGCAAGGTCTAGAGGCCTCTCCACTTCAGCATGGACCAGACGCTCTCATGCCGGCTGGGGCCAATTCAAAACAGTTTTTGTGCTAACACAGAGGCACAAATGAAAGCTGTTTGCAAAACTGGCACGCAAGAAAAGCACACAAGTCAGGAAGCTGGGCACACTCTACACTTCACTAGCCAGCACATGGTCAGAAGGAATTTTATTTATACTCCAGCCCGATAAACCCTTCAAGGCTGAAAGTAAAACTAGGCTTTGCTCAGGTGAAGGAAGGAAGAGGAAAACTTGCCCTGATGGGCATGGAGAATGCAGAACTAAACCCTTCCAGGCTGCTGCCCTGGCACTCAACATGTGAGGCTTTGGTTTCTTCTCTCCTTTAGAGCAAGTGAACAGCAGTCCCAACCAAAACAGACGAGGTAACTGTGGGCTTGGTGCAGATCTGGTCTGCACCATGGAGGGGTGAGGGGTAAAGGATTATCCAAGGGAGAAGACCGTGGGAAGCATAGGGCTGTCTTCTTTAAGACTCCCACAAACTTTCCACATTTTGTTGAAGGCTCGCTACCAAAAACCTTTCTTTAATACAAGATTCATTGTCCTATTTATAGCCAAGTATCAAGCATTTTACTCCCCTTTTCTAACAGCCTCCAATGCCCATTCACATCACACTACACCATTACTTTAGCACTTGGCTGCACTGCCATACATCCAAGGTTCTCCCCTCCATCATCTTCCACCAGCAGTTTCTTGAGGACAGCTTGCTGATGTAGTTATTTGTCTGGGAGCTGTGGACATGCCGATGCTCACAACACAGCAGATGTTGCACTCTGGTCACATCTGGGTCTTCCAGGTGTGCAATGCCCTACTACAAGTTACTCCCTACGCAGTCAGCACTGCATATACACACAGAACAAGGCTGTATTTTGGGAAGCCCTCAGCAGACCAACTGCCTATGTGGTGCCCAGCCAGCACACAACACGCAACGTGTTCTAACGCGATGCAATGAACTCCACGTGCATGCAGCTACAGGCAGCACACAACTGGGTTTACTACATCCACGCTCCACAGCCGTAACATTTCTGTTCAGGAAATCCCCAAAATACAGATAGTATCCGGTAACTGACCACACGTGCCCTCTACATCTGGGTGAGGTGGCACCCACACACCTCACTTCGGTGCAGTGCCTATGGTGCATCCACACAAGCTTACCTCATGCTCACGCTAGGGTGCCACAAGGTGTACAATGTATTCCAAGTGAAATAGGATCTTTTAATATCACATATCCAAACAATAGTTCTCATTTCAAAATGCAAAACAGGTCCTTTTGAAGATGAGCTGCTCCCAGGCTGCGTGAGCAGGGAGGGGGACTGGCACAACGCCGAGGTCAGACCTCATTTCTTTGGTAAGATACATGCCAGGAACAAACGCCAGTGCAGAGTTGTACCAAAAGCATCCATTTAGAAGACTTAAGTATTATTATTATTACTCCACGTCCCTTATTAGAGATTCGTATTCTGAAAACAGTCATATACATTAAATAGCTCTCCGACATCTAAATTGCAAAACATTTGAATGAAGGAGTGCATCTTTCGCTACCCTCACCACTGTAAGAACAAGCAATAGATGTGGGAGAGAAGGGAAACATTAAAAACAGGCTGTCTGTCTCACACAGTTTATTTAACAATAGGTAATAAGAAATCAATTTTTAACAGTCTATACAGCGATCGAAAGTTCATATTTATAAGTAATCAACTTTAATTGCATGATTTACAACACTTGAGGGTTTTTTGCTTTCTATTTTCAAGTTTTACAGAAAGTGGAGG